AGCTCAAAAGAGACAAGAACCTTCATTCAGAGCCAACAGAGAGAGAAAGCTTTCCTCTAGAGATGGCACTATGAATTCAGATTACTAGCCTCCTAAACTGTGAGAAAACAAATTTCTGTTTGTTAAAGCCATTCACTTGTGGTATTTCTGTTACAGCAGCACTAGATAATTAGCACAGAATTTGATACTGGAAGAGTGGTTTTGGAATTAATGGGTAGAGGCTGGAAGAGTTTTAAGGTGCCTAAGAGTAAAAACCTGTATTGCTGTCTTAGACTGGGTTCTCTAGAGAAGCAAAACCACTAAAGTGTATAAATATACACAGAAAGAGATTTATATCAAGGAAATGCTCAAGCAGTTGTAGAGGCTAGAACATCCCAATTCCGTGGGTCAGGATAGAGGCTTCTCCTGACTCACATAGCTGCAGGGGTTGGAAAACCAAGATCAGCAGGTAAGACAACAGGGCTCTTGCTCACAGGCTGTGAATACGGCAAGCTGGCAGATAGCTGCTGGCACAAGTCCCAAGAACCGGAGGTCAGATGAACAGAAGCCAGCTGCAGGATCCAGAGTGAGCAAAAGCCTATGAGGCTTGCCAGAAAGTCCACTTACATTCCATGCAGGTCACATCCCTAAGGAAACTTCCTTTCAACTGATTGGCTACTCACAGCAGATCCTATCATGGAGGTGATAACATTATATCAAATCTCATCATGGAAGTGATAACATCATCATACAGCTGCTAAACTAATCATAACTGCCAAACCACTGAGAATCATGGCCCAGCAAAGCCGAGGCACAAACTTGATGATCACATTTGCCTTGAAGTGACTGTTGGTAGAATTATGAAAGTCAAAGGCAATTCTGGTGAGGGCTTAGAAGGAAGTGAGGAGGGCTATAGAGAAAGTCTCTACTGTCTTGGAGAATACATATGGTGCCAGCAACAGAATGTTGCAAGAAACGTGGATGTTAAATTTAGAAAATTCTGTTGTACAAACTAAGGACACGTGTCCTGAATGTGGCTACACAATCTTTTGTTAAAGAAATTAAGCCTTCAACTAATGGATCTAACCAAATACCACAGCAGAAAACTCATCAGCTTAGACTGAAGGGAATAGAGAAAGAAAGAAAGGGAAGAACGCTGTTTGCCTCTTGGAATTCTACAGGCAGGAAACAGGCCAAAGGAGCTATATCTGTTGTTCTCCATGAAAAGAAGAAGATCATCCCTTGAGCAGCTCAGAGATCAGCAGAATTATTGGAAGGAATACAGGAAGCAGGGCCTTTCAAAGGGTGGGGCCACGGCCTCCTGGATCTCAAAAGCTAGGGCCACAACCTCCTAGGTTTCAAAGAGTCACATCTTCACCAACTTGGTTCTGAAGTGTGGGGCTGCCATTATGGTATTTTGCCATTACAGGGCCAATATCACACTCTCTTCATTCTTACAATTTTGTAATGAATTTAATTACCTGATAGGGCAAGTTCTGTTTTATTTTAATGACTCTTCTTATTGTAATAAAATATATTAACAAAACTTTTACCGTTTCAATCATTTTTATGTATACAATTCAGTAACATTAGTTACATGCTCCATGTTGTGCAACCATCACCACTATTCATTTCCAAATGTTTTTATCATCCTTAACAGAAACTCAGCACCCCTTAAGTAATAACTCCCCATTTCTGCCTCCCACCACCCCCAATAACCACTAATAAAATTTAGTCCCTAGGCATTTGCCTACTGTATGTATTTCAGTAAAGCAAATCATACAATATTAGTCCTTTTATGTCTGATTTATTTCCTTCTGTATAATATTTTCAAGGTTCATTCATATAGTAGCGTGTATCAGAATTTCATTTCTCTTTATGGCTGAACAATATCCTATGGTTTATATATCTCTCTCTCTCACATGTTGTTTATCCATTCACATGTTGATAAACACTTCAGTTGTTTTTAACTTTTGGCTATTGTGAATAATACTGCAACGAACATTAGTAGACAGCTATCCATTTGAGTTCTGTTTTCAAGTCCTTGGGTTATATACCTAGACGTGGAATCTCTACGTCATATATTAATTCTTTGTTTAACTTGTTGAGAACAGCCAAACTGTTTTCCACAGCAGCTGAACCATTTTACACTCTCCAATGCCACCAACAAAGAATAAGGTTTCCAATTTCTCTACATCCTCTCTAACATCTATTGTTTTCTGATAATAGCCATTCTAGTGGGGTGAAGTGATATCTCACTGTGGTTTTGATCTGCATTTCCCTAATGACTGAGGATGTTGAGAACCTTTTTATGTAATTTGTGGCCATTTGTATACTGTCTTTGGTGAAATATCTATTCAAGTCCTTTACCCACTTTTTGATTGGGTTGTTTATCTTTTTATGGTTGAGTTGTAGGAGTTTGTTTATATATTCTGAATGTTAAATCCTTATCATATATATGTTCCCAAATATTTTCTCCCATTCTGTAGTGTGTCTCTTATCTTTATTGATAAAGTCCTTTGATGCACAAAAGTTATTCATTTTGATTAAGTCCACATCACCATCTTCCAGGAAGTCTCAATTTATTTATTTTGTCTTTTGTTTCTTGTGCTTTTGGTGTCATATCTAAGGATCCATTATAAAAAACTAGATCCTGAAGCCTCACCCCTATGTTTTTTTCTAAGAGTTTTATGGTTTTAATTCTTATATTTAGGTCATTGATCCATTTTGAGTTACCTTATGAGTATGGTGTAAAATATTAGTCCAACTTCATTTTGTTGCATGTGGAGATTCAATTGTTCAAGCGCCAGTTTTTGAAGAGAATGTTCTTTTCCCATTGAATGGATTTAGCATGCTCGTTAAAAATCAGTTGGCCATGAATGACTAGGTTTATTTCTGGAGTTTCTATTCTATTTCATTGGGCTACATATTATCATTATACAGTATCATACTGTTTTTGTTACCATAGTTTTATAGCATGTTCTGAAATCAGAAAGTGTGATTCCTCCTACTTTGTTCTTCTCTTTCGAGATTGCATTGGCTATTTGGGGACCTTTGTAATTTCATGTAAATTTGAGGATTGTTTGTTTTTTTATTTCTGCAAGGAAGGCTGTTGGAATTTTGATGGTTTGTTGGATGTTTTTATCATAAAAGTTTGCTGAATTTTGTCAAATGCCTGTTCTGCATTGGATGAGATGGTCATGTGGTTCTTTTCCTTTGTACTGTTAATGTGATGCATTACACTGATTGACTTCTTTATTTCAAGATTTATAATTTGTTCTTTTTCACATTCATCTGTTTGTTTCTTTTAGTCTCTCCTTCATAAATTGTTACTTTAAAAAAAATTCTATTTTTCCACTCATTTATTTGAGCATAGTTTAACTACTTGAAAATTTGAAGAGAATTTGTAATATGATTGCTGATTTTTTTGTTTATTTCTGAGCCTAAATATATAAGTTTTGGTTTTTCATTTAACATTTTATTACCCTGTACTTGGAACAGAGCATATGAACTCACTTTGGTATCTTCTCCTAGCCTACTGTAAAGTCAAAGGAATGTAACATAGAGTTCTACTTGATTTTCTAAAAAGTGGTTGCTTCTGCATCACCTATAACAAAGAAAACAGTAATTGGGTTGCCATCATTTTGGCTCCTTCAAGCGGCACCTTCTTCAGGTTCCAATTTTATTGGAGGGTCTGGCCTATATTAGAATCATCCCCTAGAATATAAATAAAATAGACTTCTCCCAACTCCGTCAGTGGTATATCTCATTACTTCAGGTATATTTTAAAATATTTAACAATAAAATTAGTATTAACTCAATTAAATATAAACATATTTATTTATATTCTACTTTTTATTACAAAGAATTTCAGAGTGCAACATGCAATTTTTTTCCTGTAAGGGCAAAGAAGAAGAAAGTAAAGTAACTACTCATTTTAGACAATAATAATATGGTATAAATTCAGTGTACTAGGGGCCCCTGTTTGGGACCTCTTTACCTCTGGCCAGCTTTACTTACTAGAGCAGAAGACAAATTGATTTAGTTCAGAATAGGTTTGGTTTTATTTGTTTTATTCTGGACTCATTGTCATTCAAGGTGTTGAAGTTCCAATAATAAACAGTATTTTGGTTATTATACAACAGTCTTGACTTTGCTGTAGAGCAAAGGTCTACAGTTATGAGTGTAGTTATCTTGTTACATTAATTAGTGTTTAAAGAGATAAAGTCTAGGTTAACTGAGCAATGTTTTCAACACACAGAATAGTTTCTTAAAATAGAAACAAGTACTTTATTCCTTTTATGACACATAGTCTCATTCATTGATAACTTCACCATAAAGTAGCCATTGCTTAAGTGGACTTGCCCTCCAGTTAAATCAATACTGCCTTGTATTGCATAACTTCACATAGCTGATACATGAAGGTTCCAGAAGTTTAGTGTTTTAATAATATATATATACATTAGAGAGAGAGAGAGAAAGGTACATATTAATATATGTTAGACTTTATATACATCTGTGCAAAAAAGTTAGTTTTCATAAATCTACACCCACACAGAACAAGAGAAATGCTTTCCTAATGACCTGAGTCACAGACTAGAAGGTTGATTGGTAATGAACTGTCCTACAGATGAATAGCAAGTGCACGTGCCTAATGACTAATTGGCCTACCATGAATTTCATAGTTTTCCTAATAGTTCTCAAAATGATAAAGTGTCATTTTTGTTTACATCATGCATTCCATTCCATTCACTCTGACAAATGGCCTGTTCAGGTGATTAACATTTACAACTTTAAGCTTCTCTTTACTCATTTATATCTTCTTAAAGATTAACTGCCCCTTTAAAGCTTCTTAACATATAGAGACATAATGTTTCCAGAAGGACGTACACACCTGCCTCACACTGACTAGTATGAGTGTAGACATTGTTACTTTACAAATCTTCTTTAAGAACCTGAGATATTTTGCTCTCCAGTTGATGCAGGCTTCTACGTTCTCTAATCTATAGAAACATAGTTCTTAGATTAGCAAGACTTCAAAAAACAAAAATGGGGTTGAAAAGACCTGTGTCTTCGAACTGCAGTTCTCTCAACTCCTTTGAAGTCATGCTTGCAGCTCTCCTTGTCATGTTCGTGGTGGTCTGTGCTGGCTTAATTGCGGTGTCCTGGCTGGCAATCAAGGGATCTGAACAAGGTAAGTCACACTGAGCAGGCTGCTGGAAGCACTCTCATTGAATGTACACACTTTAATCTCAGTTATCCTGTCTGGGTAGTTTATTCACTGCTGTGTTCTCACGACAAGATACTTATGTGTCACTCAGATGCTTCATTGTTGTTCACTTTATAGAATATTACTAAAACTTAGTTGTCATATAATTTGAACTTTAATCCAGAATTCACATATGAAAGCAAGTTTTCAAAATAAGTATTGGTAAATGATTTGGTCAGTTTCAACATATATCAAAGTAGGTTTCATAACCCATGGGATCGTTCTGATAGAATTTAAGTCCTAAACATTTTAAAAGGTTGTTAACACCGCAAGTCGATAAATATGTGAAAATAGGAAAAATTCAATTATTGTTTATTTCTAGCAATGGTGCCCTTCATTCTCTTATTAGGCCAACAATTGTAATTGCAATGATTTAAAGAAATTTGTATGTAAATGAGACATAAAGATTTCAAGCTGAGTTGCAACGTTGGATAAACAAAAACAATGAAGAAAAGATAACTATTATTTAGAGCTAGCATAGACCGCACCAGCAGCTAATGAAAGACCTTCAAACGTATTACCTTGAGACACAGAGAATGTAAATAACTTGCTTATGTTTCTATCATTAGCAGGTAGTGGAAATAAGATTTCAAACTAGACAATCCAGCTCTAGAAACTGTGCTCTTATATTATCTATGTAGTTATAGGATTAAACTTTTAAAAAATGGAAGCGTGGCCTTAATCTGAGTACTAAAAATTTATTATTATTTTTGTTTGTTTAGAAAATTTTTATGTTCTTTAAATCATGAATTATACCCAGGCATGCTAATTCTTTCTAAAATTTGTAGGGTAAATTTTTTTTACATGTGAGTTTTTAGTTTTACCAAGAAAATTCTCAGCCTTTGAATTAGCTATTTTCTTCTAGTAAATCTGCAAGTGTAAATTAGAATCTAGTAAGTATAATTTACTGTTTTATAAAATAATTTTAGTGTAAGTCCTAGTTTATTTCAACACTATAACCATATAGCCACATAAAAGTAATATATTTTTAAAAAGAAAGAACGCTGTGGATATTTTCTATGATTATGTGAACAATTAATTAAATTACAGAGGTTCACTTGGGCTTTTAGAAAACTTGCTGTTTTGGTCTTACTTAAATGCTGTGAATAACTTTATGAATGTATGCACATTTGGAAGTCCATGAAAATCTTGATACTCAGTAAAGATACCAAAAAAGTCATTTTACATAGTAAAATAGAAAAAAAGCATTTATAAATGTTTATATGATTTAATAGTAAACAACAGAATATAAAAAGGGATTTAAGAGAAATCTGTAATAAAGCACCAGAGGACATATGACATAATTTTTTTTTCCTTTTTTTCTTGAAATAATATTAGACACATAAAGTTGCAAAAATTGTGCAGGGTTCTCATATACCCTTTACCCAGCTTCCCCTAATGTAGTATCTTTAATAGCCACAGTACAACTACAACAACCAAAAATTAACTTTGGTAAAATACTATTAACTGAACCACAGACTTTATTCAAATTTCACCAGTTTTTCCACTAATGCTCTTTATCTATTTGGGAACCAATCCAGGTTCCTACATAGCCCTTAGTTTTCATGTCTCATTAGTCTCTTATCATGTGATAGTTCTTCAATTTTTTCTTGTCTTTCATTTTTAAACACGTAAATATAAATGCAATTTTCAGCATTTAGAACACAAACGAAATGGTGTAAATAGTGTTACATCAATTGTGTAATCATTCTTTGACTTAAACACAACTCATTTATTTTTTGAGATACTGTTTCTAATGTTCCTTCTGGACTGGGAAGTTTGCTACCAGGCAATCCTGTGTTCAAACTCCAGATCTGTTACCTATGAGCTTTACTATCTTGGAAAATTTTCTTAGTCATCCTAAGTCTCAGTTTCCCCACCTGGGAAAAGAAATAATAATTTCTTCCCTTGCTTGGTCATCATGAGAATTATGCTTTCATGACTGTGTGAGTTTCAGTTTACATGATTCATTTTGACTATAAAAATATATCAAGGAAAATATTCTAATAAGCGCATTAGGCAGAACTTAATGACACATTTTATTAACCCTGTTCATATTCAATCTGTGAGACGAATAACTTTTTTTATATTAAGGTAATACACTTTCTTCATTGTTCTCAATAACTTCTCCTATAACAACAGTCATCTGCTGGCAAAAGGTCATACATGGCAATTTTATAATTATTGGAGTGAAAGAAAGTAGCTTCAAAGCTATGTTTCAAAGTATTGCACACACTGAAATCCTCACAGCAACCCACAAGTAGAAAACCAGCAGTGTCCCTGGATGACAGGTGTTCAGGAAGTGTCTGAAAGCAACTACAAAACTTTTAATGGTCCATTTCTCACCATGTCTCCCTGAATCTGTTCCTGTAACTGGTGGAAGTTGATCGGTACCTGCATCTTTCAACAAGCATCTCAGTTAAAAAAAGCAAAAACTAGGAGACCTAGAGTGTGGATTAGACTTCAATTTAAAAAAAAGAAGAAGATATAAATAGGGTAGAAATAAAGTTTTTATTTTTAATCTTTTAAGATAACAAGACAGCTAAAAAACAGCTGATTTTGAAATACGAAGATTACAAAGAAATTGGCCGAACTACAGGGTCAACACATCAAATACGAACTTGCCTTGTGTCTTTACTGAAATGTACGTATTCTCTCTTTCTATTCATGCTTCAAATGTCTAGTGTTTTATTTCTTATTAATTCATCTAGATGCAGTAGTTGGAACCAGTCATGAAGTCAAAGGGACATTTAAAATAACATCTGGAACTGCATATACTCTTAATTTGCAAGACAAACTCTCAGAGGATTTCAAAGTTCTTGCATTTGACCTTCAGCAAATGGTAAAGAATCGCCTCTCTTTTAAAATTTCATAACATATGCTCACTAACTCTTGTCAGAAAATATATAAGATCCTGTTTTATCACTGTGAAAAAAGTTAGCAAATAAGGATAATATGACAGAAGCTTAAATGTATGAGCCTTACCACCACTGAGAAGCAAACTGCCCCTAATCTGGTTCTAAGCAGAACATAAAAACTACTTTGTATTCATTTTTGAGCAAAAGTTTAAATCTTAGTCTTTATATTTTTCACCTTTTCTCCTTTAGATAGATGAGATCTTTCAAACAAGTAATCTGAAGAATGAATACAAAAACTCTAGAATTATACAATTTGAGTAAGTATAGCTCAAAAAATTTCTACTGATTAAAAATAGAACCACAAGCATGATTGTTTTGGTAATATTTATAAAAGGTTATCACTATATATAGAAGAAATGAGAACATTTAAAAATTTTCAGCTTTTTTGTGATCATTTAAGGTGTCATGTGAAAAAAGTGATACAGCATATACTTTCATAAATGGTAGCAAATAATAATAATTCCAGATACTTGATCTTATGTAACATGTTTTTCTTTCCTAAGAGAAAATGTTTACAGAGGCACATAGAGAAGGCTACAGTTGTATGTATGGAGATGCAGATATAGGATTTGAATTGCTATAAACGTGTGAAAGAAGTTTGTTAGTAATAAAATAATGTTGCTTCATCCAACTTCATTTATGCTATAAATCATAAGGGAGTGGCCAATTATTCACTTTTGTACCCGGAGGGAATAGCACTGTGCCTGGAGAATAGTAGGTGCTCCATAAATGAATGAATCTTAGATTCATAGGATAATGATATAACTCCACTATGAATACCTGAATCAGGAGTTGTTTTATTTTTTTACTGAAAACTGCCAAAGGTCTTTGGAATAAAGATATGAATCAGCAGGAAAGTAAGGAAAGAAAATTGTAATGCCTGTTAGAATCTATAAAATCAAGTTAAAGGGGAAAAAGTCAATGAGAGAGCATTCTATTAAAAAAAAATTAAATGAGAGACTGAAGATCTGCTATATCTGAAAAAGAGAGGGGAGCACAGATTTTCGAATAATTCACAATAAGAACACATAAATGAAAAGACAATACCCAGGAAGCTTAGGGAAAATGCAGATCCTATGACGCGAGTTAGGAGCCCTGGTGGTGCAGTGATAAAGAGCTTGGCTGCTAACCAAAAGGTCAGCAGTTCAAATCCACCAGCTGCTTCTTGGATACCCTATGGGGCAATTCTACTCTGCCCTATAGGGTTGCTATGAGTCGGAATCGACTCGATGACAATGGGTTTATATGTTTTCATTACATTATAAAGTTACTGGCTATGAAATTTGAATATTCATTAATTTTATCTTTATTGATTTATTATTTATTATATCTCAGAGCCTAATATTACATGTTTGGGCTTTGCTCTACTATAGCTTACAGTCTAGTAGAAATTATTACAATTTTCTTGCCTACATTTTGCATTGATGTTTAAGGTTTATGAATTCAGTTAGGAATGTCCAAATAATTTGAATATCTGGTATATTTTGCTCTCTCTTTAAAAAAGCATTTTGTTATTTTTTTTGAAAAGTTAAGCTTTCTTAGCCCTATTGTGAGAAGGAAATGGAAGGCATATGTGAGCCAAAGGTGTTCATGGCACACCAATTAGTTCAGTACAATTAACAAACTGAAATTTCAATACTAAATAGAATATCACCCAGTACTTCCCATTTGTTCTTGTAGGTAGCAGGCACTTTCATACGTTACCTTATCTAATCCTCACTAGAGATTTATGGGTTTTAGATTATCAACCCGTGGTTCAGAGAAGTTCCAAAGTCATGCTGCTAATACCAATGTCTGTCTTTCTAAAAAGACTATGCTCTTTCCACTACTTATTTTTGTATAAAAACATACTCAAGACAGGGAGAGGAGCAATGAGAGTTAAGCCTAAAAAGTCACATCTTCAGAAACTGTCTGATTGATGTTTGGTATGTTTCCCAGTGAGTACTATCTTCTTTCTCCATATTTTCTTGCGTTGATCCTAAACTAAGACCATTTCAAATGCAGTCCCATTCTTTTATCATTAATTTTCTTTGCTCTTTACCCTCGTTTTTAATCTTGTGTAGAATTAAGCACTTTAAGGGAAAGCTTATGGGAGAATCTGTGCTCAAACTAGGGTGAAAAACAACTGATTTTGTAATCTCCTTTTTATAAAATGTCTCTTTTTCAGTAATTATGCATGTATTATTCTTTGTGTCATGGATGCTTGCCATTGGCGTTAGCATATAGAAAATAATAAATAGGAGTGTGATGAGTTAAGTGAATTGAGAAGTAAACTTGTAAGAATCCATTACTGATTTTGAAGTTGTGATGGTCCATTCAGAAGTATGTGAAGGGCTTTTCCAGCATTAAAATTGCAACTATTCAACTTGGTTATGAATTGATTATTTCTTCATAGTGACCTCATTGTTGTTTTAGCAAAAGCTAGAGGCAATTTGGAAGATGAAGTAGAGCATCCACAGTGGCTTTGTGTAGGTGATATGGTTTATAGACACATAAAAAACGTAGGAAGTATGTGTGTGTGTTTGTGGTTATGAGAATGCCTTAAAGATTTAAATGTCTCTACTTTCTTTAAAAAATTGTGATTATTTTCTTTTTCCTCCTCATGAAAATGGCACGTTGTTGTCATGTTTGCTTCATCTGAGCCTTTTTAAAATCAGCTCTTCGAACGTGATGATGGACACTAAGTTACCTTGTAGTTTCTGTAATCTACAGAAAGCAGCATTTCTCTCATCTTCCAAAAAATGACCTTTAGTTTAGGATAAATATCCTGAAAATTCCAGAAAAATATAACATGCTTCAAAAGAAAACACGGAATGCAAAGTTAAAACCATCTTATAGTAGAATAAAAAACCTAAGGCCAAAATAAAAATAAAATATTCTGCAGTTTGCATAAGTAGAGCAAATTCTCACAAAGATGAGAGTAATGACAGATGCTTTTTAAAAGAGGCACAACATATATTAAAATTATTCTGGAACCCTGAAGCAAATATATTTTTCCTCTCATTAAATTAATGTTCATTTAGTCATCAGTTTATTCTTTCACTTATTTATTCAATAGGCATATATTGGACTTATGTGGATCCAGTAGTTAACTAGGTTCTGAGAATACAGATATTAAAGAGAAAATCTCTGTCAAGGTGCTAACTTGATCACTATGGTTAAGGAATTTGCTCTTGTATTAGACTGTTGATGTATTTAACACTATTTTTGATAGGTTATTAGGTTTTAAGTTGCCTAAACACAAAGAGTATTTTTGGATTAAATGGCTAACATCTAACAGTCACCAATAATGCATTAGATTATGATGAATTTATGAAGGTGAAGTCTAAAATCCTTGCTATGAGAAAATTGAAACACTGGGTATATGTGACAAAAACCCAGGAAATGCTAACTAATGTTACCAGGCAGCACATGGCAAGTTGCAGACACAATTTGTGTAATAAGATTATAGGAAAGAGATGGATTTAAAATCTTGAAACAATGTCGTTGAAAGAGGCTTCAATAATGATGTAGACCAATCCCTGCTTGATTGCTTTGGGCTGGAACGTTCATAGCCTCAGTAGAAGTCCATTCTAGTCCAACAGAACAAAAATACCTACACTGTTTAAGGTGGATAACTCACAAAATAATATCTGATGAAAATAAGGAAGCCATTTGTATATGGGGCCGCTGTGAGTCAGTACCGACTCAATAGCACCTAACAGCAACATGAGCATCCTGCAAACTTCGTACTGAATAATCCCTGTTATCACAGTGTTTCGTTTATTGCTTTATAACTGTAGTTTGCTAGAAAATATTTCCTTGTTCTCTACTAAGTCTTCATTTCTTTGACTCTCATCCACTGATCTTTGTTGTAGTTGTACTGGTAGTTATTACAGAACACATGGCCTCATCTTTTGATCTCAGTCTTTCCAATACCTGAAGACTGTTGCTAACATTACTATCCTAAATGCAGGTGTTCCCTGAGGATTCATCTCAGAGTGGCACTCTGATCAACTTTTCCTCTTCTGTCCTTCCATTCCTCCCCCGCTTTCCTGGAGGACCTCCACACCAGCATTACCACAGTACCAGTATGCCCTCAATGCATACTGTTTCTCTCTTTGTTACTTAGTTGTTGCCTGGAATTCTTTTTCTGCCAAGGATGTAGTTGTTTATTTGCCTGCCTCCTTACTAGACTGTGAGCTCCCTTAGGACAGAGAATGCATCTTTGCTATCTGTGTTTTGAGAGCCTAGTAGATGCCTAGCTCAGAGTACATGCTCTATAAAAGCCTTGAAAATGAATAGACCATTTATTTAACACCAATTATTGATGTATTGAATGTTATGTTAAGGAGCCTTGGTGGAGCAGTGGTTAAAGCGATCAACTGCTAACCAAAAGGTTGGCAGTTCGAAACTGCAGTGGCTCTGTGGGAGAAAGATGTGGTAGTCTGCTTTTGTAGAGATTTACAGCCTTGGAAACCCCATGGGATCACTATGAGTCAGAATCGATATGACAGCCGTGGGTTTGGTGTTTTTTTGCTTGTTTGTTTGTTTCGGAGTGTTATGTTTGGTGTTAGCACATCTTACTTCAACTCTCCTTCTACAGATACAGAAGTAAATACTCTATTACCTTGGCTTTAAGTTTCTGTTAAAATATACCTTTAATTAAAAAGCTCTAAAATAGTTCTCTGGAAGCACAAGAGTGCTAAGGTATTAAAGAGTTTCTGAGGTTGGAAGGATGGGTCATGGGAGGTTTTATGAAAAATGTTGAACACAATCTGAGAAGCCTGAGTAGAGACTACCTGAATAGAGAAGAAAAGGGAAGAATTAACATGGCATGTTGACCATACTGTCTGGCTAGAGTTGAAAGAAGGTTCACTAAGAAGACATTGAGAAGCCAGGAGGTTGTTGAATGTAAGGTTAGGAGTCTAACATGTAATCTGTGTCAAACGGGAGCAGATGGGACTGTTGGTCATTGGAGAAACACACTGAGCCTGACCTTAGAGAAAGGTCTGATATCTAAGTTCAACAATTGAATCAGGGAATCTGGGGACAAGGAGACTTGGTATATGGTCTTCACAAGCATCGCAACATTAGTAAAAGAATCCTTAGATCTTAGTGGCCAAATAGCTGTAGGAAAGTCATGTCAAAGGCCAAGAGATTATGCTTAGAAAAATAATGGCACGTGGTCGCATGGGGATTGTTTAGTGGGTAAAAGAAAACTCGGGGCTTTACCATTTCCAAATGGGGCAAAACTAATTCTATCAGTGGTGGGCACAAAGAAAAAAAGCAGAAAGCGTCAGTTTTTTATTTTAAAAAAAAGTTTTAAAAATCCTAATTTCTTTCTTTCTCTTCCTTTCATCTATTTATCTGTCCACCTATGTTCATCAGTCTTTGTCTGATTGCATATTCTTAATAATTCCAGTAGTCTGTCACCATCTGCTGTCTTCGTTCCTACCTATGATCTACAAGCTTCTACTTTTCTCTTCCAGGGCTTATTACTCCTGATAGCTTCTTTCACTGGCTCAATACCAGGACTAGAAAGAGACGTGGTCTATCAAGAAAGGCTGATTTTTTTTTCATCTTTTTTAAAGTGCTGTTTTTAAAATTTATATTCAATATTTATTCAGTGGGGACAAAACCATGCATGCAAGCATTTTATTTTCCACTTAAGCTACTTTGAAATGAGTGGAACCAATTTTTCTTTTCCAGTTTTATAGAGGATTGAGTGTGGAGCCCTGCATTAAAGCATCAATTCATATGAATTTCTGGAAGGTTTCACTTCTCTTAAGGAGAGCTGGCCTAGGTAGCTGCCCTTCTTTAACCAGGCTCTGCCCTGTGCAATTCATACAAAGTACAGTATCCATTGTAGGGCATATCAGGATAGTTTTGATATCAAGACCGTTTGTGTTCACATGTTGAAAACATGCTGAATAACTTTATTTTTACTAGACTGGGAAAACTTAGTAAAAATAAGTTGTTGTTTTTTTTTAATACAAGCCAGGTGTGCTATCAAAACCCTAGCATTTTGTTTTATATTTACCAAGTAATCCTTTATTTCTCTAGATTGTAAAATCACTATATTTGAAACTATAAATTATTTGAACTGAGGAATTATTTTTCTTTCCTTCTTTATAGTTACCTAGGAGTCCAATATGGTGCTGAAAGCTTGATAAATATTTTATAATAATTCTCCAATAATATACTTTATCAGTGTAAATATACTTTCTCCTGATGGTAGCAGAATATTTTAAAATCAGAAGTGAGTTTTTGAAAAGAATGCAATGCAAAAGAATTTCGTGAAAATGTCTGTAAGATAAATTAGAGATTGGTACTTTGGGAGGCTGAGAAGAGTAGAATAGGAAAAGGAATTCAGAAGCTGGTGAAGAGAGTAACAAGAAAACATTGATGTTTACTTTAAATAATCACATATCAAAAGACATACTCTACTGACAGGAAAAAGTGGCAGACTCATAACCAGCTTTATAAATTCTAGTTTTAAAATCCACTCGATAAAATCAGGGAACCGAAATAACTTAGTTCTCACCTAACAATATCCACACCAGCTGTGAAAAATGCATCTAAAAATCCTTTATAATGCTATTTTCTTTTTTGCTATTGATTTTAATTAAACTCATGCCACATGCTTGCATATATGGTCAAGCTATAGCACTGAAAACCTAAACTTAGTCATTAACCTATTTCCTCTTACTTTCCCAAACATCGTTCAATGTCAACCTCCAGCCCCCTGCTAAACTGTGTGTGTGTGTGCAGGCGCACTCATGCATGTGTGCCTGATCACCTGTTTGAGCCACTCTGCAGGCCAAACAAATCGTTTACTCTCCAGTGAGAACACTTTTTGTTATTTTGTTTTGTGGAAAGCGCTTTGACTCAGAGAGCATTTAGCAGTTGATTCTTTTAAGAAAGAGCTGTTTACCCTTTGGGACAATATGCAGCTTATGTTGCCCTTTGAGCACAGATAAGTCACAAAGTTAGGAAAAGACAGTCTTGTTCATTCAGCAATCCTAAAGGTTATCAATATCATTAAGGAAAATAAGAGATAAGAAACATTTTGATTTATTGCACAAAAGCTCCCACTACAATGATAGGATTTATCTACTTAAAAAAAAAAAAAAGAAAAGACTCATACTCTACTGGAACACAGTACTTTGAAATGAAAATGGCCGTTGTTTTGTTTCTTTTCTTTTTCCTAAAGGAAGAATTCTAATTTACCTTAATAATTTAAAATCAGTCTCACAGTAGCAATAGTGATCATGACTAAAATACTGAAATTACAGCTTCAGCTTTCTCATTAGGTGAAACACAAATGTTTATTGTGGTTTTCCTGATTTCTAGTATGTATCTCTGTTATCGCAACAATTACTTTAAATAAGAAAATAAATGTTAAAGAATACAACAGTATTTGGATATAGGATATGTAACTCCTGTCCTTGCGAAGTGTAAATTATTAAATGCAATGTATAATTCACCACTAAGAGAACACAGCTTTCATACAAAGATGTCTTCTGCCTAAGGATGAACTAATCCAGTTACCTTCAACTCAGTGAAACATTCCAGATTTGCACTTTCTCCATCAAAATGCCTCATTTCTTCTGCTACCTAACTCCAGTAAAAAAAAAGCAAGAGTTTCGTCAAATGAAACGTGGAAATTACATAGAGAGCAAACACTGATTTAATCAGAATTAATACTGTCTAGTGTGTGATCAAGGATAAGATGAAAACATGGGATTGAAGATAGAGAAATAAATGGAAATCGTTCGTTATCACCTTTCTTTAACCATATCCAAGCCTGTCCATTTAACTATTTAAATTTTTGAGTAATGGTGGTTATACTTGTTGCCATCCAGTCAATTCCGACTCATAGTGCGACACTATAGGACAGAGCAGAACTGCCCCCATAGGGCTTCCAAGGCTGTAAATCCTTAGGGAAGCAGACTGCCACATCTTTTCTCTGTGGAGTGGCTGGCAGGGGTTCAAACCTCTGACCATTGCATTAATAGCACAGTGCTTAACCGCTGCACCACCAGGGCTCCTGAGGGTGTCTAGGGAGATATAATGTAAGAAAGAAAAGAAAAAGAAATAAAAAGGAAAGGAAAGAAACCATCCCTTGGAAATATGGAGGGAAAAAAAGTATCTTCTTTCAAAAATTCAACTAGTTATTTTCCCCATCTATTGGGATATCACTATGAGTCAGAACTGACTCAGGGCAAGGGGTTTGGTTTGGTTTATTTGGATATAAATTTCCGGTAACTATGCAAGATATATAAAAACCTGGACTTTCATCTAAAACAAATGTGTTATTTTCTGTTCCCTGTTAATAAACAGGTCATAATTACGTTGAGTGTAGTGGTGTGGGAGGTGGGGGGATGGAAATTATGTTTAAATATATCTGCGAGACAGAAACCCTGGTTCCATTCCTGTAACTGACACTAATAAGCTGCATAACCTTGGTCAAAGTTACTCAATCTCCTTATCTTTAAAATGAAAATGCTGGACAATATCATTGCAAACATAGAGCAATCTCTCCTTCCTGGAGCTTCTGTTTAAGTAAAAATGGGTCAAGGCTTGAGCGTTGTATACCAGCTAGGATTCTTTTAAGTTGCAATTAGCAGAATACATAATAAAATTGTCTTAAGGTAAGTGTTATCTGACATAAGAAATCTAGAGCCTCCAGCAGAGGTTAACTCAGTGGTAGAATGGCATAATCAGGAATTCAGGTGCTTTCCTTCTTGAACTCCACTGTCTTTAGCTTGGCCATGCCTCACCTCATGGTCCCTAAATAGATGTAACAGTTTCAGAAATCACATGTAGACATAATAATGTTCAACAAAGAAGAGCAGTTGTCCCCCATGAGCCTTTTTTTTTTTAATTAGACATGGAAAAGTTTTCCAGAAGCTTCCCATCAGTCTTCGCCTCAGACCCCATCAAGACTTCACACTATATAGAAAAACAGTGTCTAAAACCAGGAAAGCAATTTAAGATTTCTCTGTATTTGTAAATCATCACCGAAAACTTATAAATCCACACCTATATTCCTTAAAACAGTAAATTCAGAGTAAATGCCATGATACCATGTCATTTTGTTTAATTTGACACGTCACTCTGCGAATGGCCTGGCTTGGCGATTAGTGTACTAATATGGAACTCAGAAAACTCAGATGCCAATGCTAGGTTCACTCTAGGGCTTTGTGTCCTTGGCAAAGCATTTGTTTAGTCTTTCAATTCCTTTTTCTCCCACCTGTGAAATAGAGATAGTATTTGACATAATCTGCCTTACGCAGGTGTAATGAGGTTTAACAAGGTGTAACTGTAGAGAATTTGAAAAACATCTGACAGGAATTGAGCAAAAATTACTTGAAAAAGGCTGACTTTTCCTCTTATATCATCTTTTTCTTTGTAGAAAAGGCAGCATTATAGTCATATTTGACCTTCTCTTTACCCAATGGGTGTCAGATGAAAATGTTAAAGAAGAACTCATTCAGGGCATTGAAGCAAATAAATCCAGCCAACTGGTCACTTTCCATATTGATCTGAACAGCATCGATATCACAGGTATCTGTGAACATTATTTGATTTCTTTGAATCATTAAGCTATGAAATTAAAATTCTAGCTATAGACCAGGAAGGCAGTGGGAACATCCTTGCGTTTAGGAATTGCCTGAGGCAACACATTTACATGAGAAAAGTGAAATAAGGAGAAACTGTATTTGAAATAAGGAGAAAAAACGTCAGTGAGAAAAAGGTTCTGAAAATACCAGCATGCAGAAATGTTTGTGGTGCTTATCACGTTCTTTGCGTGACTTTCGGGAACTCTCTATCTTTCTGATACAGCCATAGACATTAGTAGATTACAAAGTCAAGTGGCAAGGTCCAGGATCTAATTGAGAACCAAAAGAAAAAGAAAAATACAAGAAACTATATTACAGTTTCAAGTTGAGAATATTCTCAACAAGTTCAGGTTACATTTGACATGCTGACTTGTGTTAAAAAACATTGTATAAAGATAGTACAAAACTTAGTTACATTTAGATGTTTAATAACTCCTGTGCTATGTGAACTTTCAAATTTTTCACATTTTAAAATTGGAAAAGAATTTCATAAAAACCTTGCATTTTTATACAGTATACTGCTACATCAAACTTAAACAATTAAAATATTATCTTCTTTATCAATATTTTACCACAAATAATTTATATTTGAGACTGCCATAGAAACAAGACAGTACAAAAATGAAGAAATACTAAAATTAGAAAATCAAATTAGTAGAAGGAAACCCTGGTGGTGTAGTGGTTAAGAGCAATGGCTGCTATCCAAAAGGCTGGCAGTCTGAATCCACCAGGAGTCCCTTGGAAACCCAATGGGTCAGTTCTAGTCTGTCCTTTAGACTCGCTATGAGTCGGAATCCACTAGATGGCAAAGGGTTTGTTTTTCACTTAGTAGAATGGAGCAGTGGTTAAGCATTTAGCTGCTAACCAAGAGGTCGGCAGTTCAAATCCACCAGCCATGCCTTGGAACCCATATGGGGCAGTTCTACTCTGTCCTATAGGGTCACTATGAGTCAGAATCACTGGAGGGCAATTTGTTTTTGTTTTTTTTTTAATTAGTAGAAGAGAATATATCTCTTAGCACAGTAATCATAAATATAAATTAATGAATTTAAAAAGTTCATTAAATGAGAGTTTTTCAGCAGATATGTTTGATTTCCTTTATCTTACATTAATGAGCCCCTATGTTTTAAAACTATTAAACATGTTAAAGGTTCAAGAAAACAGCCAGTTTTTTTATGTTTTATTTGAAAAGCACTTTATACTTAAATAGTACAATGTTTCCAGTAGATATTATTATATGCAAAGATTATTTTGCTATAAACTTTTCCCATAGGTTCCAATGGAAAAGCCATTGGTTCTAGGTATACCATGATCTTGCATGTAAAAAAAAAAAAAAAATTGCCATGAAGTAGATTCCAACTCACAGCGACCCTAGAGAATAGAGTAAAACTGCGCCAAAGGGTTTCCAAGAAGTGGCTGGTGGATTCCAACTGCTGACCGTTTGGTTAGCAGCTAAAATAAAATCGGGGAAAAAATAAAACAAAAACCCGTTGCCACTGAGTTGATTCTGACTCATGGTGACCCCATGTATCACAGAGTAGAACTGAGATGCATAGGGTTTTCTTGCCTGTAATCTTTAGAGAATGAGATTGTCAGGCCTTTCTTCTGCAGTGCCACTAGGTGGGTTTGATTTGTCAAACTTGCAATTATCAGCAGAGCACAAACCATTTTTGTCACCCAGGAACTTGTGCTAAAATCATTGGCTTCAATATAAATTATTTGAAATAACTATAATGAATAAATACATAACTTTCTTAAACGGGGACAAAAACAAAGCAACCATTCTACATAAGTTATTTGTATAGAAAGCATATGCAGATTCTGGACATTGATCAAATATAATCAAATAATCAAGGGAAACATTCAGCAAGAGAAACGAAAAAATGGTAGAAGTAAAGGATCAGTTGCTCCTGGAATGGTTATTTAAACTGTACTCAGTGTTTTCTAATATATTCATGTAATAAGCCTAAGTATCAAATCAACTTTACTTTTTTCCAGCATCTTTGGAATATTCCTCTACAATAAGCCCTACAACAACTTCAGGTCGGTACTTACAGCATTTTTTAAAAATATGGCTTGGTGATCATCAAACTCCATCCTATTAGGAAATAATTTTTTTTTCTTGTAGCTGTTTCTAAAATATTTCATCTCCATATTAAGATGTAAGAAGCATACGTTTGGTTAACAATAATATAGCTCATAATATTACACAACTCATAATGCCTAGTTATATGCAACGAGCATAAACAAAACAATAAATTGGTTGCCATCATATCAGTTCTGACTCATGGCCACCCCACGTGTTACAGAGTAGAACTTCTCCATAGAGTTTTCTTGGCTGTAATCTTTACAGAAGCAGATTGCCAGGTCTTTCTTCCATGACACTGCTGGGTGAGTTCAAACTGCCAACCTTTAGGTTAGTAGTCCAGGGCAAACTGTATGCACCACCCAAGAAATATATTGCACTGTTTGGAAAGAAGAATCAAGACTTAGTGTTAACTTTGATGTCTCAGCATTTTTTTTACCCCATCTTTCTAATTGCATTGGTCACTGCTGAGCATAAAATTTAGAACTTCATTTTGTCTCATCAAGGCCATATCACTAAGAAAGAATTTGCTTTGGAAAATTACCTATACATTTGAGGACTAATCCGAGCTATTTTAAGGTGCAGAATGATGTTATTGTAGAGAAAACATTAAAATTGAAGGCTGAAGATTTGCCTGCCAATCCTGCCTCTGCCAACTACTGAAATCTTTAGACATGTCACTTTACCCCTCTAAAATTTTGCTTCCTATAAATTTAGAATAATAAAACTTTCCTAAATACTTTATATACCATCCCAAATATAAAATTTACATACAAAAGCTTTTAAAAGTATAAATTGTTATAAAACTATGAAGACATTACTTTTAGTGTTACCTATAATTATGATTGTTTCCATAATACTTGAAAGACCAGTTGTAATTATTTACTTGGGTCAGGGACTATAGCTTAGAAACCCCAATGGTGCAATGGTTAAGCACTTGACTGCTGACAGGTTGGCAGTTTGAGCCCACTCAGCAGGTTCACAGGAGAAAGATCTGGCGATCTGCTTCTGTAAAGATTACAACCAAGAAAACCCTATGAGACAGTTTTACTCTGTGACATGGGTCTCTATGAGTTGAAATGGACTCAAAGGCACCCAACAACAACAACAACCTCATTTAATTCTCAGAATGATCCTGTAGAGAAGTAATATTTTTTTCCATTTAGAAACAAACAGATTGAGGAATAAGTAACTCAATTCAGGGACTCTAAAGATAACAGGTACTAAAGTACACAAAACTTAAGAAAATAACAAAAAAAAACTCAAGTTCAATAGTAAACACAAGGAATATGCACTCAATTCCTAATAATCAGTCTAAAATATGTAATAATTATTTTAATGTCATTTATTTTTACAGACAAGCTAACAACTAGCAGTCTTCCGACAACCAGCAATCTCCTGACTCCAGGTCAGTTTTAATAATATTATTTCTATCTTTTTAAAAAAGTTTTCACTTATGCTTCATTTTAGACTTCTGACGACTCTCTCAGATACCACAGCAGTGCTCAGCATCACACAGCTGTTAATTATCAAACTCAGGATTCAAAAGTAGTTCTTCCTGATTCTAAAGCCCAAAGTCTAAGGGTACTCCATGGTCCTTTTTGAGATAACATTTTTCCTAGTCGTTAGGAAATTAAGTAATCCTCATGTTTAATTACTGATCACTGACTAACATCTCCTTTACTTAGAAAATACATTTGAAAGATGAGTGAAAAATCTAAAAATCTTCACTCTATAATTGTAAAAAATCAGTGAAAACCTACAAGATATATACTTATATCCAGATGCAAGTGAGATATTCCAAAGTTAATTCAGTAGCTGTGGAGTTGATTCCAACTCATGGCAACCCCACATGTGTCAGAGTAGAACTATGCTCCATAGGGTTTTCAATGGCTGACTTTTCAGAAGTAGATTGCCAGGCCTTTCTTCTATGTCATTTCTGGGTGGGCTTGAACCTCCAACCCTTTGGTCAGCAGCTGAGTGTATTAACCATTTCCACCTTTCAGGGACTTCAAAGATAATAGGTACTAAAATTCACAAAACCTAAGAAAAAAACAAAAAAAAAAATCAAGTTGAATTGTAAACACAAGGAATATGTACTCAATTCCTAATAATCAGTCTAAAATATGTAATAATTATTTTAATGTCGTTTATTTTTACAGACAAGCTAACAACTAGCAGTCTTCCGGCAACTACAGGTCAGTTTTAATAATATTATTTCTATCTTTTTAAGAAAGTTTTCACTTAATGTTTCATTTTAGGCTTCTGACAACTCTCTCAGATATCACAACGGTTAATATTACCCCTATTTTATAGATAAATTGGAACATAAAAAGTTACAGTTTTAGCCTAAGATTGCACCAAAACGTACAATGTATTAAGGGTCAATTCCTGGATTATCTGACTTCTATCCAGCCCTCTGTCTATTGGAACTGTGGTTACCATCTAAGAATGCTGCTAGTGGAATCAAAACATTTTCTAAGGGGGACACGGGTTTCATCACAGCTGTTGGGGATATTCGTCCTTCGATTATTCTCTGCCAAATCAGTACCAAAGTAGTCTTGAGTTCATTCATACAACCATTTTTCTTTTAAGCGTCTACAATGTGCCAACCCCTAGCATGTATATTTAAAAAGCAAACAAAAAAAACCCATCATCTTTATTATGGAAGTAGTGTATGTCCATCGTGTAAAACAATAAAATAGTAGAGGAAATTGTAAACTACACTTTTTTCTACCCCCTTCCCCAGTGCCTTTCTTTAGAGGAATACCCTGTTAACAGTTTTTATCTTTAGATCTTCAAGAGATTACCATTGTAATCTTAAATGATATGCTATTTGTATTATCTACGCATTAATCAATGTTTCTCTTTTTTTAAATTTATTTTGATCAAGGTAGTGCATTTAAATACTTTAAATCAAATTATTTACAAAGCTTATAATGCAAAGCAGCAATACGTTGTACGCGTCATCCCCACCCTGAAAGTAACCATTTTAAGAATTGTTACTGTTTTTTTTTTTTGGCAATTCATCTCTTAATTTCTAGATAATTTCTACACAGCTCTTTCTTAACTTTCCAATTTTATTCACTGCCTATCTATTGACTTCTTTCTGTGGAAAATTAGGATTCCATTCTCCCAGATACTTTGTTTCCTACCAATCTCCCAGAGTAGGAACATGAAGATTTTTAAGTTGAATCAATATTTAAATTTACAATAGTATCACTATGTAAACACTGTTGACATTAAAGGTATCTAGTGTAATATGATTACAATTTTATAACTTTTTAAAAGGAGTTAATAATTGCCTTCCTTTTTCATTTTCTTCCTTTTCTCTTTTTTAAACCTTCTTTCCCAGCATGTCTATTTGATGTGCCAGGTTCTTTGAGTTCCTAGTAATTGCCAACTGTTCTTCTGTCCATCTACTATTGTTGTTGTGTGCCCTCAAGTCAATTTGACTCATAGTGACCCTATAGGACAGAGCAGAACTACCCCATAGTGTTTTCAAGGTTGTAATCTTTATGCAGGCAGATGGCTACATCATTCCTCCATGGAGCAGCTGGCAGATTCAAACCAGGTCTTTGAACTGGATCAAACCATTTCTGTCATGGCTGACGAAGCGAAATTGGAAGAGACGTGAAATTTTAAAATTTAGGTGAAGCAGAATGATAACCAGAACAGGAAAAATTATGAATCAAAGTCTTGGAACCGGAGACTTGGAAGAGGTGCAGTGAGCCCATTCAGGGGCCTGATGCGGAGACTGGGTTATTGCAAGGACTGTGGAGGGCAACACACATACAAAGTGGCACCGTAGGCTGCCATCTTTGAACGGGGCACCACTATTTCTGACTCTGCTAGTCAAGAGATTTGTTTGCTATGCAATGCACACACTGCCCTTGTTTTCTAAGAGGGAGAGTAAGTTTCTAGCAGGCCTTCGACCTGTAATTTTTCCCATTCCGGTTATCATCCAGTTCACCCACATTTAAAAAAATCAGATCCATTTGGTTTTCACTTTGCTGGCCATGACTGAATGGCTCAGAACCAGTTCAAAGTTCTCGTTCCAATTGCCAGCCTTCTGGTTAGCAGTCAAGTGATTAACTACTGTGCCACCAGGGCTCCTTGTCCATCTACTAACCACCCCCCCCAAAATCCAAACCCATTGCCATTGAGTCTATTCCAACTCCTCGACCCTATAGGTCAGAGTAGAACTGCCCTATAGGATTTTCAAGGAGCAGCTGGTGGATTTGAATTGCCAACCTTTTGGTTAGCAGTCAAATGCTTAACCACTTCACCACCAGGGCCCCAGTCCATCTGCTAACCAATCAAAATACCTTTTCTGTTCCTGGCTTAATCATTACATTAAGTATCCTGGAAATGTCCCTGATTCCTACAGCAAAAAAGAAAAAACTTGATAAAGGCAATATTGTATAGACTTTTAATCAATTTTCAGCAATAATACTGCAATTTTTATGTTCTTAAAATTTACATCAAGTGTTATATACGTACAAAGAAACACCATTTTTAAACTATAAATGTCTGTCTAGGTAGAGCCTAATAATTATTTTTGGATAAAATAGTTTATGTGATATTCGAAAAACAAAGAAATAAGTGACTGATTAACCAAAATGCCGCTAGGCAACAAGCTACCGTGCTTCAAAGTCATTTTCTATTATAGTAGGATAAGTCTGCCTACTATCATATTTGGATTATACCCATGGAGCAGGACAAAACATTGAAAAATAAACTGGTCATTTAGCCCATACTGTCTTCTCCAAATATGGGAAAGTATTTACAACATCTAAAATCACCTCCCAACACACTTAGAAAAATTACTTTAGCATTTGTAATGCCTAATTCCTTTAGTTAGGAAGAAAGGCCTGGCAACCTATACTAGTTCCAAAAAATTAGCCAGTGAAAACCCTATGGATCACAAAGTTCCAATCGCATTGTGCACGGTGTTGTCATGAGTTGGGGGCTGACTCGAAGGTCACTACCAACAATTCTGTAGTCTAAAAATAAGTTCTTTAATAATTTTAGTGTATTTTTAGGAATTAATTCTGAAACCTTTCAAAGTCAGCAACAAATATCCAAAGTAGTGCTCTGTTTTCTGTCTATCCATTTGTTGGTTCATTGAGTGATTCATCTAAGCTCACAGTTACTGAGTTACTGAGTGATTCAGGAGGTGAAGTATGTGGAACAACTTTGAGGAAAAAAATCTGTTTTAAAGTCAGAAAGCCTTGGACTTAAAGCGAGTTTTCTCTGTTACTATTTTGAAGGCAGACTGGTTACGTTCAGAAGTGACTGAATCATGGGGTCAGTTTCATCTCCCAGCCTCACCAAACAGACAAGGCTCTACTCATCCCTAATAGATAGTGAATGAGAAAGCAGAGAGTACTCCCATATTTTTTTCTTCCAGGAATGGAGCAGAAATTCTCTCTCCTTATATGGGAACTATACATATGGGATCAGTATACATTTAGCCCTATCATATATGCTTTATACGAACTATTGCTATTCCTAATGATGGTCAAAAGTAACACAAAATTGTTAGTCATTGAAACGGCATGAACGAATCCACCCCTTATCTAATTCCACCAATTACATAGTGTTTGACAAGCTATTTAGCCTCTTTGAATTTTATGTCTCTTTCCTGAAAACACTAAAGATTAAAGATACAGCTCTAAGTGGGTGATCATGTCAATTAAAAGAGAGACAACACAAAGTGCCTAGTACAGTGATTGCCAAGAAGAAGGTGGGCAACAAATATTAGAGGACTTCTTCTTTCCTCCTACTGACTTAGACAAGGACTTGGATGCTTTGTAAAAAATTATTTTTCAAAAACCAAGATGAAAATAAGATGGTTGCACTTGGTAATTCTCAGTTCATCTGAACATTTATTTAACCAAAAGCTCCATTTCAAAGGATTTCCTGTAATGGAGACTGTATTGTATTACCTTAATCAATCCTCAAAGGATTATTATAAGCTAAGTAGGTGGCAAAATAGCATATTACCTCTTTTACCAGATCCAAGCACTACATGAGTCTCTAGTCATCTTTCCTATTTTTTCCTCTCATACTGCAAGATACTATAGATTTATAGAGGGGAACAAGGTAATTATAACTTAGAAACCCCAGTTTCCAAGAAGTAATTTATTATGAAGATACCTTTCAGGGATGTTAAGTTTTTTCTCATTTTTATATGCCTGGAAGACAAAGTTTGAGAAAAATCAACAAATGCATGCATCATATATCTGGCATTAGTACTATTATAAATTCTGCCAAAGAGAGTTTTTGCATGATAGTGGATACCAAGTCCGTGAGGATTATATTTGATTGTTCAACTGCCTTTCTTGCCAATTCCCATAAAGTTTGACTAACCCATTTGAAACACTAGAGGAGAGAGATGGGAACTAAGTTTACATTACACTGATTGATTTCTCGGCTGCTACAGAGTGCCTTGGGGGTCTGTTTTGGGCAATTGCTCTTATGCTTGAAGGGTTTCTACTGTACAGCTTGTACTAATCCTTTGTTGCTTACTGTGTAGGCAATGATTGCAGAAAAAAAAAGTTTCATTATGAGCTTTCTCAATCTCATACAAAATGCAATCTTGCTACTTTTCCAATATATGGAAGAGTTTGGGGATTGAAGGAAAAGCATTAACTGATTTCATGAAGAACATGAAGTTAGGCCAAGAGAACCCAAAGTTGAATTATGTCCCTCAATTTAATTGCTCTGGGACTGAGACATAGAGACTTTATCCAATAGCAAATGTATTGTGACTTTAAGCATTTTTCTTTTTCCTCATTTGAGAGAAAAACACTTATATATTGCATTCTCTTCTAATTTACAACATTCCTGCTTGCATGACATCAGGACTCTTAAAGTATCTTTCCACTGTAATTTCATTTGGATTGCTCAGCCATAGTCTTGCTAAACAGACTAGATTTGTCCTATCAAAGTAAATGTGAATTTCAGTAAGGTGATATCTATTTTTCCAATATAGTGTAGTGAATGAAATTGATCTTTAAAGGCAGGCCTTCATGGATTCAGAGTCTACTTTCACTGTTATGTAACCTATAAGGATCATGGCCTTTGTTTTTCTCAAACAGCTTTACCCACCAGGTGCTATTATCTTCATTTAAAAAAAAAAATAGGGAAAATAAAATCTAAGATTTCCAAAATGTGGTTGTTAAATTATTATCTTGGATGTAACATTTTTGTAACAGCCTTGAAAGGAAAAGTAATAGATTCTAGTCTTTTTATCCATTAAAATGCCCAGCACAGGGCCTGCACAAAGTAGACACAGACAAGTCCTCTCTCCAAATCACTGGAAATTGTTTTGACTTTGATCACCCTGAAGTAATCACATTTAAGGTTATATTAAATCCTTCATGGTACAAATATAAGTGGATAATGAAAACTTCCTATTTTCAGAATTTCAAATGATACTAATTTATTGATGTGTTTTTATAATATGCCAAAATAATAGCCTGAAGATAAAATATCATATAGACATAAAAATGTGTGTAGGTCTTTTTCTCACTCAAGTAGCTAAAATTCAGGCAATTTGATTATCTTAATAAGCTAAACCAATTATTATTTTCTTTGTGCACGCTTCTTTTACTAGAATTCCTTACCACCTGTCTTAAAAATACTCTATTGAGAAGTACAGTTTGGTGCAGACTTCTTAGAGAAGAAGACATACCAGAGCGAACATGAAGGACTGAAATAGCAACCCAAGTGTCCATAAGTGAAAGGACTCTAGTTTTAAGAAAGGAAGTTGGCTTTAAAAATCTGGCATCTATATTCTCAAAAATTTTTTTTTTTTAATCTAGCATCTGGCTAATTTTTTTAACAGTTAGAATTATAAGCAATGTTTTTGTTGGACATTATAATCATATGTCCATATAGAAGGAAATGAGAGGGAGAGAGAAGACTAGGTCAAAAAATGCAGCTTGATAAAATCCTAAATCCCACAACACTTGTATGCCGATTATATTTATATTTTTCATATTTGTTTCAATATGAGGAACTTCTCTTCTTCCTTGGACCAAGGCTGCTGAAGAGTATTTATGAAGCAGAGTCTGGGGCAAGATAGTATAATATAAAAAGCTCCTACTATTTCACCTTCTAATCAAAATACCTCAAACTAGACTTGTTTTCTAATCCCACCTCTCTTCCTCTTTTAATCCCCATTGTTATTAATTATCACTAAGTAGAATCGCAGATGTCATCCTTAACACACCCTTCTCTACCTCTCCTGATCTTGGCCAGGTGCACAGCAGGTCACTAAAGCCCATCAATTGTACCTGTAAAATAGCAATTGACTCCATGCCCACCTCATCTGCAAGTGTGAGTGTTCCAGCCCTCACAAGCTTTCACCTGGACCATTGAAACAGCATCCTAATTTGTCTTCTCTCTCTGCTTGATTCTTTACATTGTCCTAGGATTATCTTTATGAAACATGAACTGTTTATATCACACACGTATAAAAACTTTCAATGCCATTGTCTGTAGAAAATATTTCTTACATTTTACGAAGGCATAAATGTCTTCCATAATCTGGCACCAAAGTCTTTCTGCTATGCTTTCCACAAATATCCCATGAATAGATAAATTAGACTCATTTGTTTTCCAAACATGATGTACCGTCATTACATTTCTACGCCTACATTCCATTTACCTCTCTTCCTGGTGCATTTCTAAGCATCCTTCAAAGCCTAGTTTAAATATGACTTCCTCTGTGAAGAAGTATTCAGTCCCCACATCAGAAGGAAACGACTTGCCTAATCCTTGGTGCACACATGGCACTTTTTTATACCTCATTTTTTTTTTTATAATTAGTAGTTGATGAATTTGTGTCCCCACTAAACTACAAGATCCATGAGAACAGAAGCACTGCAGTGTTCATCCTTCTGTCTCCATCCCTTAAAATTCCTTGACACAAATAGACAATTCTTGAGGGGTGAATGAATAATCATTAATTAGATCAAAGATTCTCAAGTGGTGCCGTTTATGAGAGTGAGGTCCAATCTGGTGAGCTCAGAGAGCACCAGCCAAGGGACCAGCAGCCGACAGAGACGTGAAGCACTGGGAAGTTTCCTGGGAAACATTAAACCAAAAAGAACAACCAAACCTGTTGCCATCCAGTCGATTCCAACTCATAGCAACCCTATACGGAAACCTTAGGAGCATAAAAATTGTACATCTCCCCAATTATATCCCAAAATCTTTTCATTCAAATGCCAAATGCTTAGAATTCTGTTGACTACTCTTAAAATAAGCCATAGAGTGTCTAGCATAATGCTTTCTTTCATTTATATATTTATCAAGCATTTATGGAATACCGTCATGCGCTATGCCTCTTGATTAGGTACTCAATCATTAAGAAATCTCCTCAGGGATATCTCATATATATACCAGCAATTAAAATACACATTGGGGAGTATTAAATACCATTTTATAGTTATTTTTTATCTTTTAAATGGAGATATACTGTCATTCAGGAATGACCCTGGTCTTTATTCTGTCCTATTATAGATGTTAGGTGTTCCAAGATTTCCCAATGGTTTATATCCATTTTTATTAGTGATTAGAGCCCTGGTGGCCCAGTGGGTAAGAGCTACAGCTAGCTGTGGCGGCTAACCAAAAGAGATCGGCAGTTCGGATCCACCAGCTGCTCCTTGGAAACCCTATGGGGCCGTTCTGTTCTGTCCTATAGGGTCGCTATGAGTCGGAATAGACTCAGTGGCAAAGGGTTTGTTTTTTGGTTTTTGGGTTTTTTTGTTTAATAGCCAGAAACCTCATCCGTAAACGTGTCTTATTAATGTTTCCTTAGTAGATCCCTTGACACAATGCTTGTATTTTCGCAATTAATTTGAAAGGGTTTAAGGAGAAATTTCAGAGTGAGCTATTTTATTTTAAAACCCAGCAGATGGCAGTACAGTGCTGGTCTTAAGATTAAGAACAACAAAACTGCTATTGAGCTCAAAAATGTTAAATCATCATTGTCACTTTAGTCATAGACAAAAACACTCAACTTTTCACATTTTTCTGCAAAATAAAAACATATGTCGTTTCCTTGTGAGCCTATTAAAATATTTTGAATATCTTTAGAATTGCTTCTAAAATTCCTTAGTTATTTCCTAGAAGTAAAATGTGCTTCTTTGTGAGTCGTTATACTTAGGGACGTGGAGGAGGGCAGATGAAGGACAAGATCCGCCGAAAGGTGCGAATGGATAGGATCCTGGCTAGAGCCCCGCACGGGTAACCTTTCGGGGGGGATGTTTGCGTCTTTCACCCTGAGAATCCCTCACCCAAGAAGCAAGGAAGACATTGACTAGAAACACCTTTGGGTCTCTCCACTGCTCAGTGTACAAAATGCACTTGAGATTTTAAATGGTTTATCTGACTATAAAATGGCTTTCATCGATAAGTTTTGCTCCTCAAAGTTCAAATCTTGGCTTAACTCAATATCTTCTCAAAGAATGAATACGTTTATGAGTGACAGATTTTGAATGGGTACTAGATAATACAGATAATGTGATAAACTTTCCATTATTCGGCCCCACATAATATCCTAGGAGGTATAAATATCTGAAATGTAGTATACATGAAGTTTAAAATCAACTAAGTAGACATCAATATTCAACGCACATGAATAAATACACGTTTTTTTCCCAAAATTTAAAATTCTACATTTCTGGAAACAATTTGTTATGAAGACACAGTGGTCTACACAAAAGTTTAGCCTGAATTTGATTTGCGTTTGCTCAGGATTTGTCATGAGGAAACTAATTTTTTCATGACATATTTTCAACCTTTCTTAGCCCTTGAAGTATTCTGCCTACAAAGTAAAATGTTTGTCAATACAAAGTGTACCCCAAACAACTGAGAAATAGTATGGCTTAGCCCACTCTTAGATATTTAGGTGAATACAAATTCTATTTTAGTTCATAGAAGAGTTCTGGCAAAAGTGGCAAGCTTCATGAAGTTTATAAGGAATAAACTACTTAGAACAGAGAATGTATTTAAAATGACATAGTTTTCTTTCATTGATTGATTCTTTAGAGTAGAATATAGTCCTCTAAATAAAATCCATTAATATTTTTTGTATAATACTTTCTCCTGGAACTATTAACTAAATAGTTCCAAAGAAATTGGGTTTTCCTACTGGCAATCTTGTCCTCTCTGCATTGCAGCCAGGGTGGTCTTTCTAAGCGGCGGCCAGTGCCCCGTACAGTGACTGGCCTCTGATAGGCATCCCATAAATATTTGTTAAATGAACAATTTAAAAAATCAGTTTTAGAAGTAGGAAAGTGTGAATTTTTCTCATTATCGATGTAACTTCCTATTGTCTTTACAGCTTCTGTTTATTGATTATCGAATAAAATATTTCTATTGGAATCTGTAAGTATATGCTTGTAAAAACCTAAATGATAAAAAAAAAAACAAACATAATAAGTAATCATACATGTTGGAAGTTAAATCTCCTCTGCTGGAAGCTTATAAATCCAATCTTATTTATTTATTTAAGGAAATGTCTCAGTAGACTGCCTGCCTGGTTCAAGGCTTTGTGCTGATGCTCTAACGTGTATAGCAATCAGTTTATTTTGTGATGGAGAATTAAACTGTCCAGATGGCTCAGATGAAGACAATAAACTTTGTGGTAAGTAATGTTCATTCTCGTTCTCCCTCTGCCACACACTCTTTGTCTCTCTCTCCCCTCCCTCTTCTTTGTCATTTCCCCTCACTGCCTGTACACACACACACATACACACACCTCTGAAACTATTGAAGAATGAGATACTCCAATAACCATGTCTATAATTTAATGCACAACATAAAACATAGCTTTATTAATATATTTAAACTTTATAACATAATATTAACCATATTAATCTTAAGCAGAGTTCCATTTAATGACTCTGGAAAGAATGTGAAGAATGCTGTGTTTAACAATGTCTGTCCTGAATGGGGAACAGAGGGGCAGATTTTCCATCTCTTCTCTATTGTCTTAGACATCTAGTGCTGCTATAACAGGAATACCACAAGTGGATGGCTTTAACAAAGAGAAGTTTATTCTCTCACAGTCCTACAAGTCCAAATTCAGGGCATCAGCTCCAGGGGAATGCTTTCTCTGTCAGCTTCTGGAGGAAGGTCCGTGTCATCCATCTTCCCTTGGTCTGGGAGCTTCTCTGCACAGGAATCTCAGGTCCAAAGGATGCGCTCTGCTCCCAGCACTGCTTTCTTGGTGGTATGAGGTTCCCGTGTGTTTCTGCTCACTTTTCTCATTTACATCTCAAAAAGGTATTGGCTTAAGACACCATCTAATCTTGTAGCCCTCATCAGTATAACTGCCACTAATCCATCTTATTATAGTGATTGAATTTAGAACACATAAGGAAATCACATCAGATTACAAAATGGTACACAATTATACAATACTGGGAATCATGACCCAGCCAAATTGACAGATATTTTCGGGGGACACAGTTCAATCCATGACATCTATATTAAACTATTCCAGGCTATTATGAATTTAACTTCTTACACATACGTTCTCACTTCTTACTTACAAAGGCTTCTTTTTTTTAATGTTTTTTCACTGTCATATGATAATATTGGTCATTTCGTGGCATTTCCATAGTCTGTAATCAGGAAGTGCCACTCCTTAATTTTGATTGTTATTCTTATTCCATTCTTGGCATAGAAACAACCAAAGAGACAGAAAGTGCACTTGAGTTGTAGCTCTCTGTGTAATGGAAATGAGTTCTGAAGAAGGTCTTAAGATCACATGAATAAAACATCCAAGTTTATTTGTAAATTTTGGCATCTGTTTTGATTGTTGACATAATAATAATGATAATGATGTTATATAGTACTTACTGTATGCCAAGCAGGGCTACCCTAGTGGTGCAATGGTTAAGCACTCGGCTGCTAACCAAAAGGTCGGTGATTCAAACCCACCAGGGGCTCCGCAGCACAAAAGACCTGGCGATCTGCTCCTATAAAGATTTACAGCCTAGGAAACCCTATGAGACAATTCCACTCTGTTCTACAGGGTTGCTATCAGTTGGAATCCACTTGACATCACACAGTAACAACAGATATGCCAGACTTGATACCAAGTAATTTAAAAATATTTACTCTTTGACTTTTTTCTTGATTTATGGTTGGGTTCCATTTAGGAAAATTTACTAGAATGCAGCTTCTAAACAATAATTTATTTCTGTGTGTAGTATACATGCAAAGATTACCATCTAAGTATAAAAAGACTGGAAACGTTGTGAAAAACTAATTGGATAATTCTAACCTATAATTTTCTTGAAAAATTAAACAGAAAAAATGAGTTAAACATTTGCTTGGTGTGAATTATGATCATTTTTAAAACTGACCATGTGCTTCTAGCCATTGACCCTTAAGGCTGAGTTATATTTGATACACTTGGCTCTTCTTCCTTGATATTAATTGAAGATGAATGCTCCAATTTCAACTAAAGTTTTAAAAAAATTATCTATCCACTTGGTACCTACTTTAAAAGACAGACAGTTGGTCTGTTTCCCAGTATTAACTCAACAAACGGCAACTCGACTAAAGAGGCTTCCACTTAGCAATCCCAATTCAAATGTTCTTGGATAAAATTCAAACTTTCAAAGTTTATCTACGTACTTTGAAGTGCACTCAGAGCGTATTAGAAGAAAGTGCAGACTACAGAATATTTTTTAATCTGTTTTATATAACTAAGTTACTATAGAAGAAGAAAGAAAACTTCTTTTTTGCTATGGTTTTAAGGCAGTTTCCAAAATCCTTTCAGGAAGAATATGATACAAGTGTGCCATCATAAGGTAACAAAGATAATGCTGGTTTCTGTTCCAAAAATAATTTTGTAGGTCAAAGTTAGATGCATAGTTTGAACCCTATATAATGGTAATAATAATCAATAACCTTAAATGGGAGGAAAAGGCATAGCTAATTCATAGATGAATCACATAATCAAAAAATGTACCACACCAATTATGTGGTCTCTACCTTCTGCAGTGGTTAGGAGCTACAGCTGCTAACGGAAAGGTCAGCCATTCAAATCTACTAGCCACTCTTTGGAAACCCTATGGGGCAGTTCTACTCTGTCCTATAGAGTCACTATGAGTTGGAATCAACTTGATGGCAACTGGTTTGGTTTTTTTTTTTTTTTTGGTCTACCCTCATGTAGCTCACGATTTCCATAAAGAATTAATGTCAGTGCATATTTAAAAATAACCATGTAAGTCTTATGTAAATGTGACAATTTGTCCTAAAATTAGCATTAAGGCCACTACACACTCATGACCATGAGCCTCAGTATTAGAACTGAATTAATTCTCTAAATCTTCCTGAAAGACCTAATAAGAATATATTCTCACTTCAATATCATGGAAGTTTTGTGTTAATTGAAACTTGGTATCAACTAGCCATCTACGTCCCTAATTCTTTAAGCCTTAAGATGTACTTTCCTTTTTTTGGGAGGAGGAGGGGAGATTCCCTTGTCGTTGTTGTTGGGTGCCTTCGCATTGGTTCTGACTCATTGCGACCTCGTGTAACAGAACAAAATGCCCGGCCCTGTGCCATCCTCACAATCTTTGCTATGTTTGAGCCCATTGTTGCAGCCACTGTGTCTATCCATCTCATTGAGCTTCTTCTTCTTTTTCCCTTGACCCTCTACCAACCATGACGTCTTTCTCTGGCAACTGGTCCCTCCTGATAACATGTCCAACATAAGCCAGACAAAGTCTCGCCATTCTCACTTCTGAGTAACATTCCCTTAATTATTTGTATTTTATGTTAGCATTGTGTCTATTTTGGTAAATAAATTGAAATCCTTTGTGAAATAAGGTAATGAACAAAGCAATCAATCTATTTGTCTTTATACAGCTAAGATTCAGGATTATAAACAGTTTTGTTCATTTCTTAATTATTGGTGATGGTGAATCCAAAAGTCTAACAGACTTCACCGCAGCACCAATTTATAGTAGCAAAGACCATGTCCATCTATCTACAGTCACAGAAAAAGAATGAAATTGATTTATGAGGATTGTCTCTATATGAAATTGACCTTTGCTCTCTCTCTCTTTCTTTTCTTCCCCCTCCAGCTGTGAGCTCTTATTCAAGTTTGCGTTATTAATAGAGTCACGTTAATGTTGACTTCCTCAGGCAGCTTCCTTTTTTAGTCTTCAGTTATTTAAGTTTACAACTTAGAGCTGACTATGGCTGAACCAAGATTTCTTTAGATCGTTTTTCTTTTCTGATTAGAATTGCATCAGCAAGAAAGTTCACTTTTTAGCTGACCCTGTGAGAAGGAAAGATGCTGACTCAGCTTTTCGGCCTATGTGAAGTCCTATTTAGAAGCCGGCAAGTGTCTACAGACTGTTTGCATGCTTCATACGTATGTGCACAATAGACATTGGCGGGTGGACATTGATCATGTTTGATTTATATATCCTGGAGAATTCAGTGTCCTGAGCAAACACACAATTAGTAAATATTGAGCCACCAGAGGGAGCTCTCGGTGGGTCTGTAGAGCGTAAGGGAGAAGCCAGTCCAAAATGGGCAACATTTCCAATAGCATAATTGACGGATTCATTTATCTCCCGTTCAGATTTTTTTCTGCTTATGCACTGGAAAGCACTGTGCAGTCTACAAAGCCATAAGCCTGAACACCCAGCAATCCTACTCAGCCATGGCTGGTTGTATCTCTTTTTCAAAAAGGCCATCCTGCTTCACATTACCTAATGAAAAATTAGTTTCTCCAGAAATGTCCTGAAGTTAAATGAAAGAATATATGACAGAGACCCTGGCACAAGCCTGTATCTTGAAATTGTAATATTCTGACATTCTTAAGTGGACTATTCTAAGTAGTTCAGTACTCTTGTATTTTAAATTCCTTCAGGAATATTCCTTGTCATTTTTGCTTGGATGCAGAAATTCAACAGAGGTTCTTTAGAGGCGAACTTGACCTGTAGTTTTCCATTATCACTAAAATTTAGCGACTTCATTGAAAACTGGACAGACAGATCAATTCGTTAAGACAGACTAAATACTATGATAAGCAACCTTCCACATCTTAGCAATTTAAGACAATAACCAAATCAAAAAAACCCTGTTGCTGTCAAGTCGATTCCAATTCATAGCAACCCTTTAGGACAGAGTAGAACTGTCCCATAGGGTTTTCAAGGAGTGGCTACTGGATTCAAACTGCCAACCTGTTGGTTTGCAGGTGAGCTTTTCAACCACAACGCCACCAGAGCCCAAGCTTTGTATACCCGCTTTGCAAATTCTTAATTGGGTTTCTTTTTGTTTCCCTTCTTCCTTCTATCTTTTCTTTTTTGATTCCTTCCATTTGTTGTGGGACGCTACTGCATACGTGATCTATATTCTACTTTTGAAGGATATTGGAAAATATGAGGTTCATTTTTGCTTTTAATTTCCTGACTCTTGCTTTCATTTAGGTTTTTTTTTTTTTTTTTTTACCACCTGCTTTATAGCTGAAACAGTGAGTGATGTCATCTGTGATGGCTCGATATGTTGTAGCTTTAGGGCAACATAGCACAGCATGCGCTGGAGTCACTGCCTGGCTCTGAATAGTCACTTACGAGCTGGGAGACCTTGGGCTGGTTATTTAACCTCTCCATG